CTTCGTATAAATTGATTAGTTCATATCTGTATTGTTGGGTTCTTCATGTAGACGCATAGATTTGTTGATGTAAAATTACATCACTATATTTATTTATTATATAATTGTTAGTGGGATAAAATACACATGGTTCTTTCCATTTGATACACTTTTCTTGGTATGTTGTTGTTATATCTTGTGACCGCCGTGTGCGCTGTTAATCGATAAGCGATGATACCGCCAATTAGGGAGCAGTGACTTATTGATCGGATCAATGACGCGTAAAACCCGTACGAGCAGCCTAGAATCCCGATTGGTCTCGCTTCCTGTCTAGCGCAGCCAATAAAGTTCAGAACATCAATCCGAGCCTCTGCGATATGAATCAAACATATTGAGTTTATGTATCAATCAAACAGGCCACAACGTACCATAAAATAGAAAATAACATCTGTACAAGATTTGGCCAAAAGTGGCTGTAAATGAGGGAGGTAGTGATTAATAGACAGGGAATAATTCAAGAATGGAAAATCGTATAATAAAAGTTCATAGGTTAAAATAAAGCCTATAGTAAGAGAGACATGAATATAAATAGTTTAGTTAATTAACATTTATACGATAAAATATACGTATAGTATTGGTTCATAAATGGATCCCCAAAATTACCACTCATTATTCTTATAGGGGCATAACTGTTGTACATGAATCCCAATAATTCAGTATTTCTAGTGATCTGAAAGTAGCTCTGTTTTATTTAAATCCAAACTACTCAATTACAATTATGTATTTACTGGCTAATTTGTGTGAGAGAGTTAATTATTAAGGAAAATTTGAGGCTACTAAGAAGTTGATTATTCACATCTAAACGACAAACTACTTAAAAGTCAGTCATAATCAACGCGCAATTTTGGACAAATGAACGTTAGACCATATTGCCGTATCACATCAGAATCATGCGATACAATGAACGTAATGAGTAGCAAAGGAATTGAAATAATTATGATACTATTGTTAGCGGGAAGGACGAAACACTAAAAACATGGCCATGTATGAAAGCAATATATATATATATATATATATATATATATATATATATATATATATATATATATATATATAAGAAAACAAAGTGAATGCTTCTACACCATTGCTAACAATTCTTAGCCATATCACCTTACTTACTTACGCCTGTTACTCCCAATGGAGCATAGGCCGCCGACCAGCATTCTCTAACCCACTCTGTCCTGGGCCTTCTTTTCTAGTTCCATCCAATTCTTGTTCATTTTTCGCATATCTATCTCCATTTCCCGGCGTAATGTGTTATTTGGTCTTCCTCTCCTCCTTCGACCTTGAGGATTCCATGTGAGGGCTTGTCTCGTGACGCAGTTCGGTGCGTTCCTCAATGTGTGTCCTATCCACTTCCAGCTCTTCCTGATTTCCTCCACTGGGGTCTGGTTTGTTCTCTCCCACAGTAGGTTGTTGCTAATAGTGTCCGGCCAACGGATCCAAAGTATTTTGTGTAGACAACTGTTAATAAACACCTGTATCTTCTGAACGATGGCTTTCGTGGTTTTCCAGGTTTCGGCCTCATACAGTAGAACTGTCTTCACATTTGTATTGAAAATTCTGACCTTTGTGTTGAGTTCCAGATGTTCTTCAGTTGTAAATATGCTGCTCTTGCTTTGCCGATCCGTGCCTTCACATCTGCATCACATCCATCGTGTTCATCAATGATGCTACACAAATATGTAAAGGCTTTTACATCTTCCAAATCTTCTCCGTCAATTGTGATTGGATTGGTGCATGCTGTGTTGTATCGGAGAATCTTGCTTTTCCCTTTGTGTATATTGAGACTTACTGCTACTGAGGCTGCAGCTACACTGGTCGTCTTCTCCTGAATTTGAAGAGCCAGATCATCTGCGAAGTCTAGATCATCCAATTACATCCTAGATGTCCACTGTATCCCGTGCTTCCCTTCAGATGTTGACGTCTTCATGATCCAGTCGATCACCAGGAGAAAGAGAAAGGGTGAGAGTAAGCAACCTTGCCTGACACCGGTCTTTACTTCGAACGACTTTGTCAACTGTCCTCCATGAACTATTTTGCAGTTTAATCCATCGTAGGAATTCTGTATGATATTGACTATCTTCTGAGGCACGCCGTAGTGTCGAAGGAGCTTCCATAGTGTTGTTCTGTCCACGCTATCAAATGCTTTTTCGTAGTCGATGAAGTTGATATAGAGTGATGAATTTCATTCAATTGATTGTTTCACAATGATCCGTAGAGTTGCGATTTTGTCTGTGCACGATCTATCCTTACGGAATCCTGCCTGTTGGTCTCGAAGTTGGGCGTCTACGGAGTCCTTCATCCTGTTTAACAATACCCTGTTGAAGACTTTTCCCGGTATTGAAAGAAGAGTGATTCCCCTGTAGTTGTCACAGTTGCTGAGATCGCCTTTCTTTGGTATTTTGACCAGAAGTCCTTCTTTCCAGTCTTTTGGTACCTGTTCCTCATCCCAGATCTTTCTGAAGAGAATGTGGAGTATCCTTGCAGTTACCGCTACGTCTGTTTTCAGTGCCTCTGCTGGAATGCTGTCTAGTACTGCTGCTTTGCCACTCTTGATTTGTCTGATAGCCATGCTGATTTCTTCAATTGTTGGTTGGCCAACATCGATTGGGAAGTTCGTGAGTGCTGATTCGATGTTGGGTGGGTTCAGTGGAGCTGGTCGATTCTAGAGTTCCTTGAAGTGTTCTACCCACCTGTTTCGTTGTTCTTCAATATTGGTGATTATCTTGCCTTCCTTGCTTTTCACTGGTCGTTCTAGTTTACGGTGATGTCCAGAGAGTTTCTTTGTTGTGTCATACAATTGTCTCATGTTTCCTTCTCTGGCAGCCTTTTCCGCCGTCATTGCTAAATCTTCCACATATTTACGTTTGTCAGTTCTGATGCTCCTCTTCACTTGCTTGTTTACTTCTGTGTATTCAGCCTGTGCCTTGACTTTTTCTGCTCTTGTTCGACTGGTATTGATTGCTGCTTTCTTGTTCCTCCTTTCTTGAATCTTATCCAGTGTATCGACCGTGATGCAATCCTTGTGATGGTGCTTCTTTTGGCCCAGAACGTCATGACATGTTGAAGTGATTGCCTCTTTTATCTCTTTCCAGTTGCTCTCCATAGTAATTCCTTCTCCATTGAGTAGATCATGAAAGGCTTGGAACTTATTGCTGAGGGTTATCTTGAATTTGTTGAGTTTGTCAGTATCACGAAGAAGAGCCGTATTAAACTTTTGCGATGTTGTCCGTCCCGTTTTCAAGTGCTTCTTGAATTTCAATTTCATCTTGGCGATCAGCAAGTGATGATCTGATGCTATATCAGCTCCTCTCTTGGTTCTCACGTCCTCCATCGTCCTCCTGAACTTTTTTTGATGCAGATATGGTCGATTTGGTTCTGTGTGCTGTGATCCGGTGAAGTCCATGTGGTTTTGTGTATGCGTTTATGTGGGAATATAGTCCCGCCTATGACCAGTTTATTGAAGGCACATAGATTTGCAAATCTCTCACCATTTTCGTTCCTTTCTCCCAGTCCGTGTCGTCCCATGATCTCTTCATATCCGGTGTTGTCCATTCCAACCTTGGCATTTAGGTCTCCCATCAGAATAGTCAGGTCTTTTGTTGGGCACTTCTCGACGATTGACTGCAGCCTATCGTAGAATTGATCTTTAGCGTCTTCATTGTATTCGTTGGTAGGCGCATAGCATTGGATGACGTTCATTGTAATCCTCGTTTTCTTTGTTTTGAAGGAGGCTTTGATGATCCTTGGTCCATGAGATTCACATCCAATAAGTGCATTTTGTACTTGTTTGGACAGCATCAATGCAACTCCTTGTGTATGTGGGGCGTTTTCTTGTTCATGTCCGGAGTATAACAGCAGCTCTCCTGAAGCTAGTCGTTGTTGTCCAACTTGCGTCCAATGTGTTTCACTGGTCCCAAGGACCTCTAGGTTGTATCTCCTCATTTCTGCAGCAATTTGGAAAACTCTCCCAGTCTCCCACATTGTACGAGCATTCCATGTACCTAAATAAATGGTTGCTCTGGTTGTCAGATGGGGCATCGGCCTCGTGACTTCCGAAGAAACTCGGCTTTCATCATGAGGCGTCATAATTCTTCTAAACGAAGACCTCCTGACTCCCAGGGCAGAGTTTAAATGATTTGAATAATTTTTTCTGGTTAGCGTTTTTTTTAGCGATTTAGTTTTCTACGGGATGGGGTCGCTAACCCCATGCTCAACCCCCGTTCTTTATCCGGGCTTGAAACCGGCAGTAGCCCCTGGAGGGACTCCAGACGAAGTTAGCCATGTCACCTAACGTCCAATTACTGTTCATGTTTAGTACTTCGATCCCTATTAGATAGTCTCTATTCATTAACCATGAATTCATTAACTATTTGACTGAGTTGTTTTTGTAAGTTCAGTCTATCTGGTTAGAGTCCGTATAATTATCTTAGCCTCTCTTTATTTCTTATCCAACCTCTAATGTCATAATATTTTACTAATTCAATCAATTATTTTAAAATACTTTCATATTGTAAAGCTATTAAAAATGTATTTATTTGATTAGATTTTTGTTTTTCAGTTCTATTTGAGAAAAATTTCTTTTTTCTTTTCTTTTTTGTAAACCTAGAATTATTTTTGTTATTAACACTACTTCTATTAAGAGAAATTCTGCGCTGATTTTTTTTTATTGTCTAATATGCAGTTTGTTTGTTTGTTTGTTTGTTTTTCGATTGGACATTTGACATTCTCATCATTTACAAAACTCCTTAAATATACGAATTTCTCAAAACTCCATTTTTTTTATTTAAAAAATAAATAAATAAAAACAAACTTATTTAAGTGTAATACGAAGAATAGTTGTTGAGAAAAAGGAATTAAAGTTCTATATATTTAAGAATATGATTACTTAACTGTTAAAAGTTAGTCAAAAAAAATCCACTTTAAGTAATTTTACTTATCTCTTTACTTTCTTTTAGGTTTATTACCGAAAGAAACGTCGTATTAGAGAACAAATTAGTGAGGATAGTATTCAAAAAAGAGATCGTAAAGGTTCTGTTACTTTTGGTAATGGTGGTGGACCGGCTCCTTCATGTCAAAATGGATCTACAGGAAGTTTAACTGGAGTTAATGTTGCAACTGTAGCAAATACAGCTGCATTAACATGTCACTATCATCATTATCATCATCACCATCATCATTGTGTAGCACCACAATCTACATTATCATCACAAATTCCTATGGTACCTCCACATCGATGTGGTATTGGTTGTAATAATAATAATCTTGTCACAGGGTCTATTTGTTGTACATCATCTTCAGATTTACAAACACGATCATCCGGAGTCAATGGCATTATTCAGTCACGACATCAAGGACCCTCTATGTTTCAAATGAAACATCATCACCATTCAACTGTTCTTCATCCTAATCAACATACTATTTCCAAAGATCTAACTACTTCACATCTCTCTCATCATTCTCAACAACATATCTACGATCAAGGTAAATTATCGCTTGAACTATTAGATGATGCTAGAAATTTGAATTTGATTAATGAACTAGATTTCAATTTTCCTTATCTATATATGGTATAAACGTCTGACTTTCAGTTAAATAGATTAAGAATTTTCATATAATCTAAACAATTACAATGAGTTATAGTATTGTAGGTGTATTTATACAGTTTGAATGAGTTGTTTTTTGTTTCTGTATTTCAGTCTGTTCTGCTATCTTTTTTGTCCACCAAGATAGAGTAGTTCCTTTCAAATGAAGTACGCTACATTATCACAAAACATATCGTCTAGTGTTCATTATCAACAGGATTTCCCTTATTGATTTTGTCTAGTAATATCACACCATAGTGTTTAGAATCTAATATTTTATTTATATGAACAAGGACTAACTAGTTCGTTCAATAGCTGATTAGGTCTACGTTTCAGTACTTTTCAGTTGGTTCGTACTCTAATATACATATGCTGTCATTTTCGGGATGCGGTATTTATCGTAAACTAACTCATCCATCAAGCACATGAGTTTGAGCACTAACGATGTTCTCCTGGCTGTCCAGATAGGAGTTGAGCGGGGTTCAAACCCAGGATTTAATGTTTGAAATTTAAACAGCTTAACAGTCTTTTCATCGCTCCACTGATATACAGTGCTTATAAAGTTAACGAATCTATGTACTGATCCAAAAGAGCTGCTTAGCTTCATTTCGCTATTCTTGCAATGTTGCAAGACAATTTATAGCAAAAACATATGCGTCTATATTCGTCCGGTAAATATGAAGTTATCAGTTTGAAACTTCTCTTCATTGTAGGCTAGATATCCCTTATTATTGTTCGACTGCTATTACTGCTAGTAATAGTAGGAGTACATTTGTCACATTACATATAGAAAGGCTAATGCAAAAACGTAAAACTCGTAAAATAGCATTGATTGAAACAGACAGCGTTTCAAATAATTTATAATGTAAGTAGAAAGCTGTCGGAGACAGTGAGCTTTCGTCTTAGCATTGCTGAAGTTTTTGCTACACATCTCAATAAACTAGAACTATGATTTTAATCTCCTTTTTCTTCTAAAGACCACCACCTTCCCTCTTCCTTTGTTTATATTCCACCGACTTATTTTTGTTTCCATACTCTTCCTGATCACAGTTCATCTCAACTTCAACCTTTCTTTCACAACGAATAATCGTTATCTAAATGACTATTTAATGTCATGACGGTTACATCTTCCAATTTCTTAATGAGTGTTGGGAAGATCCAAAGTATCCCTGGAAAAAGTCTAGAGGGGTCGCGAAAACGCTGGGAAACATTTTATTTAAATCAGCGTTCAATATAAGTTTCGCAAAGTCATCTAGAAAGTGAAGAGTCACATGTCACATTTATGATTGGGTGATTACCTATTCTGCTACTATGTTTAGTTTGGTTCCAGAAGCCCAAACCCACATGAAATGTTATAGATACCCTCGATTTTCTGTACATGAACTAACCTTGGAGTAAAGCATACGTTTCAAACTTTGCACATTTTCTCATGTTCAAGTTGTTGTGTAGATTTAGCCCGCTATTATTAGAAGAGTTTAGGAAACTGATTCAAGAGTTCACTTAGAAGATTTATCAATAACCATAACATTTTTGTTTTTGGTTTATCTTACTACTCTGTCACTGTGTTTAACGAATCTGTTATTATTATTATCATTGATCATTTTCGAATAGAAATATATTTTTGCGACTGTAACTTTAAAAAAATGAAAAAATTCTCTGAGAAAAAGCTTTTCAGTAAGGGGTTGTGGATATTGTTGAACTTCATTGAAATCATAAACTGATTTCTGTTAGACCAGCATTGAAAATCACTTCTATGGAATAGAAGTGAAAATAAGATTTGAGATAGTGTGGAATTCTATATAGATATAAGAGGTATTATTAGTATTGACCTTTTTTTTCAAAATGTTTATAGATTATGGATGTAGGATAGTTAATGAGAATTCGCCCTAATATCAACAGTTTCATTCGCTTTTTGTCTTCCCATTTTTTGAGCTAGAGTCTCAAAAATTATTTTATAATGCCTTTTTTCACGAATCTATACTTTCTTCTCGAATCGTATCTTCGATATCCTTCCTTTCCTATTGTCACTGACCAGTCAGTTAGTCAGTAACAACGTGGAACTTCGTACGTACGTACATCAGTTCGAGTTGCCATACTACATTAGCACAGAGATGCAGTTGTCGTTTCAAATCCTATAGTGCTAGAAGTAATAAAAGTATAAGCAGTAATCGGAAAGATTAGGGTTTGAAGATGTTAATCAAGGAGTATAATACAGTGAAATAAATTTGGAAAGAGAAAAAACGGACATGAAGAATTCAGAAGATTAGGATTTTGGAGAACACAGAGAGTGGATGCACCTGCGCGATTGCAAACGATTTTGAGCCATGTCATTCAAGGTCTCTAACCATCGGTTGCTATCGTCTCGCGGACCCCAACCAGGTAGTCCACACCTACCAACATGACTCAGTCCACTTGTCAGTGACTTCATGGATTTGTGCCATGTTTTGGTCTAACCGCCCCTAGCTTTCTTCCAACCTACTCCTACACCATAAAACATCGCACGTCGGGGCAGTCGGTGGTCGGGCATACGCAACATATGTCCCAGCCATCTCAACTGATGAAGTTTCACTACTTCACCCATTGATTTGCCATCCTTACCTAGTACCCGTTTCCTCGCAACTGAGTTACTTACTTGCTGGATATACGAGCAATGTTTCAAAGACACCTATGATCAAATACTAGTAACCTACGAATGCCCTCTACTCTTACTGGCCATGTTTCACTGCCATAAAGTAGGACAGAACGAACTGCTGCGCAGTAAACATGTCCTTTGGTTGATAGACGGATATCTCGCCTACGCCACAAATGACGCAAGTTGGCGAAAGCTAGTCGAGCCTCCTGTATCCGTACTGATATTTCGTCACACACCAGACTACAAGGGCTGATGAGACTTCCGAGATAAGTGAAGCGGTTGACACGCTTAACTACTTCACTCCCTATCATTAGTTCGGTTGTCGATGCAACCCAATCCTGAAGAAGACTCAGCATTTTGTCAGCGTCTTAACAGTAACAGTATTATCACTGATACTGTTACTAACTCCACTATTCTGGGATTTTGTCTGACAATTTCATCACTTGTGCTAATGGTGTATGGCAACTTGAACGAACGTACATACGTACCAGGTTTTACGTTATGACTGAATGACTTTATGATGTGAACCATATTCTCTTTGTTATCTAATATACTTTTCTTCTTATTCTCACCAATACTAAATATTCGTTAGAATTTTCTAGTCCTTTTTCCAACGTAATCATACAAAAATCGGCTGTCTCATTTTCATATTTCTTTTACGTTTCTTTTTGTATGTCAACAATGTGTGTGTATGTGAACAGGTTCATCATTTCCTTCTTGTAATCCGTCTAAATCATATCCATCGACTAATTTGAATATTGTTACCACTACTTCTGGATTTCGTACTGGACTTACATTAACATCAACAAGTGTTGGGACTGGTCCATCTGTATACTCTTGCCACATACAATCAAATTCTGTTTGTCAATCATCATCAGCATCATCATCTGTATATCCATCACATCATCATCATCATCATGGACTTGTGCGTATCGGTGATGTATGGTATAATCGCTATAAAATTCTAGCCTTAATTGGTAAAGGTACATTTGGTCAAGTAAGTCTTTATAATTTACATTTTTCTATTTTTTTTTTCTGTTTTATAATTTTGTTAATTTATGTAGATTGAAAGATATGGTATAAGAAAGAACCAATCAAAAGCAAGAATGTAACTCGAAGTTTTTTGCGCGAAATTCAAATATCACTTATTTATATGAATAATAGAAACACCTTTGTATGTTGTTCAACAAAACGTTTAAAATGTTGACAAAAATTACTTTTAGTTATCATAGATTGGAAATAATAGTGTTAAATGCAAGCAATATTTAACTCTGTCTTCGAATATTATTATACAACGGGTAAATGGACACTAGGTGCTATATTATTAAATCTTAACTCTAAATTTGTAATCTTGGAATAAACCTTAACTTGATATTGATATATTTTATGGGCAAACTAATCAGATACCACATCTTGGATTTTCGCATGAAATTCATTCATCTATACGGCTACATTGAAGAGGGAATTAGGAGAAGACCCTGGAGATGGATAGGACATATTGTAGAAATCACTAAGCAACCCCTAGTTTGGAATCCTAAAGGAAAATACACAAATCAAAGAATTCATTGCTCCGTGAATTCGAGGCAAACATCAAAAGAATGAATAGCATTTGTCAACGACTGGAAAGGGGAGCTCAGGAAGGAGTTGGTTGAAGAATCCTGGTCGGGGGTCTCTACTCCAACAAGAGGTAACAGGCCTAAGTGAGTATATGATGTGGCTACAGTGAGCACTTTTGAATGACACTTTGTGATAAAAAAAAAAGCCACTAGCCTTAATTAAGAACACTGGTGGTGAAGGGGACTTATCGAAATCAATCAAGGTTTCAGTAAAGCGTATTGTTTATAACCATGACGACAAATTCACACGTAGTTTTCTCTCAGTTACTGGCAAAGTAAACAGATCCATTGAATATGTAAAATCTGTTTATACTTTATAATCTGATTGTTTTCTTTTCCATAAATTATCCATTCATAAAAACTTCTGATCGGCTAAGAACTATCTGGTTAAAAACAAGTCGCGGTTATTTTAAGCTTCTTCTTGTCCTATACTCTTCCAGTTATTACTTTGAACCAACGGTACAATTTATAGATACATGCATGCATATCTTTTTTCTATATCGTGCAAAATTACCTAATTTTACTTATTTTTACCTAAATTTACTGTGTGCTTATTTGTTTGTTTTTTTCAAAATTTGATGCTTGTGTGTTGATTTCGAGAACCTTGTGATACTTTCTATGTACGTACATATGCATATATGTACATATATGTGTACTCCATATTATATTGATCGACATAATAGATAGACAGATACAATGGTGAAAATTGTAGCATTATATTAGCAATATCAGTGGTAGTGCGGTTGGTTGTAATGTTAAAAGTAGTATTAATAGTAGTAGTTTCTGTCGGAATTGTAATACAGTAACAATAGCTGTAAAAAAATAATAGTACATATATGGCCGTAAACACGATGAATCATTTTCGTAAATCACTGTGCCGGTTTGTGTGTATAGATTTAAGTCATCTAGTTGAACAGTAGGTTAGTTAATATCGTGTAAGCTAATCATGATGTATGTATGTATGTTCTCTGTGATATCGCCACCCATCACCACACACACACACACACCTGTATGTTATGCCTCATAGTGTAGTTCTAGATGCGATTTACAAGTGCACACGCAGACATACACACCAGGTAGTAAGTGCAAAGACACATACATACATATTTTGGACATATACAATATTTATGTCTAACTGTCTGTATAACCGTCTGGCTGTATGCGACTTGTGTTGCTATGATATTTTTCTCACTATTACTTCGTACATAGACAATATATATTTATATAATCGATGCTCTTTTGGGTTTCACAACTCTACTTACGAACACATACATAGATTGATATATGTACACACTCAAATACCGCTTTTAACCGACTTGATTTTACGTTGGTTAATCTCAGATAAATTGGTGCTTTACTTCATCCTCATTGTGTTGTTCTGATTACGGTGATTTTTTCCTCTCTATCTTGCCCTTTTTTTCCATACTTTTTGTGAGCATTAAATATGTCACGCGTTGCGAATTTCACCATGTTTCTCTAAGTAGTATTGTGTAAATATATACTATTTATAATGGAATATATAATCAATGCCATTTTAGCCAGTGTTAAATGTTCAAGATTTGTCTGTTTGTTCTCTATGTTGATAATAAATGTCAATAAGTATCTGATTTTCAGACTAGTGGGTTTTTTCTTTTAAAAAAAAAATAATAACCATGTGTAATTCGTTCGTAATTTTAATCTGAACAAATATCCACAAATCACTTAACTAAAGAAAATTCTAATCATTATGAGAGGTTTGTCGAGATTGTTGAATTATATAGTTTATGTCACAGACTAATACTAATTAGGTAATCATTAAAGACCAGGAAATTTTGGACAGTTTTTTTGTTCTAATATGGAATTCCTCAGAATTGTGTACATCCATGACTTGGTTGGGGAGTCGAGGCTAAAACTTGTAAGTCTTACCGTAAACAACGCTTAAAGTCCATACTCATGAGTCTACATTTCTAACTTCAATCAATTCACAATACTGCACAACCCTCACATCTGACATAATCGAATTCCACCGATCACGATTTCTCACTAGACCTCCGTGAATTAGTTCTTTAAATTAGTCATTAGTGAGTATATCCTTTTGATTACTGAATATTTATTAACAGACTGTATGGAAAATATTTCGTCATGATGTCAGTTCATTTATTTTGATAATTTACTTTACAATTGTCTTTCAACATTCCTAGATCTGGTAGCTTTCATATTTCATAAATGTTATTTCTTTTTTCGCATAATCCTGTATGGCAAATAAAGTGAATAGCAATGCTTGAAATGAAATCCTCAGTGAAAATTATGTATTTACGTTTAGCACTTACCAACCAAATTCTCTAGAATACTTGATACTGTACATATATTGGACATTGTAAGACTTATGAACTACAAATATATGGACACGAATCCTATCTTTAAATAAAATACAATACAATAAATGCCCTGGTATGGTCGACAATGGGTAGAGTCCACTCTCCCTCTCAAAATGCTCTCACATGGTCACGCGTATATAGCCTCTGCCAGGGAAGTCCTACTCACTGCCTTCTCGCACCACGGGTGTTGTTTGCGAAAATGAGAGGACGAAAACCGAATGTCCGGCGCTTTAACCAGATCCCAAACCAATGGTGCACATGAGCTCCAGTATCCTGAAGGAACAAATGGCGTATGAACCAATCGTTGGTCACCGGCTACCATGGGATTGCATCTCCTCACGATGCTCCACTGCCTTGTGGATCAGACGTTCAGGTCGAAGGCTCCGGGTGTGGCCCCCTAAGAAAACCACCTGCTTCGGTTTGGGCACCCGGGTAGTATCACAGCCCTCACATATGTCAAATGAAATCTGTGTTGCGCATATGTATTTGGTGCTTCCTTGTACCAATATCTATGTGTTAAGATAAATATAAATAAATAAATAAATAAATAATTTCTACTAGGTTCTGTGGAGATTATATAATTTTCATAGATCTTTTATTTATTTATAACACTATTGAAAACTTAGAAATACTAGACGGTTGTTTTATCGTAATTCGCGACATAAGACCTATGAAAATTATTTAGTCTCCACAAAACCATATACTGATAATTATCAGATGACCAACTTCTAGATTTAATTCCTGGAGTTCTAGTGAGAAGCCATAACCGATCAGTGGAGTTCAACCAAATAGGATGTGAGATAGTTATCTGTAGGTAATGGAAGATTTTCGCGCAATATTGTGAATTGATATTAGACACTACCAATGCTGGATATCGACTCAGTGGTCTAGAGATTAGGCATAAGCGTGCTAAATCAAAGGTCCTGAGTTCACTACCTAGATGTGAGATCGTGGATGTGCACCGCAGAGGAGTTTCATGCTATGACGTTACGGGCGTCCATTGCTTCCACTCTTATGGTGGTCTAACTAAGATATGTTCGTGATATAAAATCCACGAACTATTTGTTTTGTCTAAGATGCTAATCGCTATCATTCTCTATGTAAGTTAAAATTCCATTTATAATTTTTTTTACCTCGCATATGCTATTTCGTCTGTAACTTAACATCCTCAGTCTCTTCTAGTGATACGTCCCGACTGACACGAATAAATTTGAGTTCATATAAACTTAACTCTTATTGGTCCGCTGATTCGTAACTTTTTCTTCTATCCGCCGCCTTAAGTCTAAGAAAGAAGAGCAGTCAAACTTTTATTATTATATTTCAACCATACAATGTGTTTATCCCAAACGCATTAACTTACATACATGAACTATCCAACTGCAACTCAAATTAGGAAACCATTCTTTGCATACAATCATTCCATAAATGACAGAACTAAGTGAACATTACATTATTAATTATCAATAATTGAGAATTAATAAAACATATAACAATAGTTAAGATTTTTTTTGGAAGCTTAAAATAAGGATGTTTTGTCTGAAGACCCGTTGATCAATATCATGTGTCAAGTCGCCAATTAGAATCCTAATTCTAATTTGGTCTTTTATTTACTTTATAGCTTAATGTCTCTGGCTTGGTCTATTATACATCTAACCAGCACTATCGACTTTGAGTTGATGAAGCTAGGTTCTTACAGGTTTGTTATTCACCAGCTTCTCTCAGTGCCTTGCCTTGAGTTTAGAAGTCAGCAACCAGCTTTTACTATATTTATATTTCTAACTGACGTTTGTATACAGGGTCTCACCATACCGTAAAATGAAAAATAACAATTAGACACAAACAAGCAGAAAGTGGCTACGGATATGGGAAATCGTAAATAATAGACTGGCAACAAATTATGGTCGTTAGTTTATGGGCTAACGAAAAGCTTATGATATGAGAAATACATAAACGTACTAATCTGGTCACTCTCTAATTATACAACTAAATTATGATTATTAATAATTTGGAAAATTACTTCAGATCTACAACATTCGTTCCGATTTAAAAAAAGGTGGGAATATGGAAATACAATAATACTGTTAACTAATGTACAATAAAAATATAAGTAGTAGTAATCATTTGGGATTTAGTCACTGATATTGTAGTTTGCGTATATTGATCAATATCACCAATCGGAATTTCAGCTGTAATTTGATGTTTCTCGCGTCCATTCTTTCGTTTATAGACTAGTATCCTGGACCTGATTAAATACACTTATGACACACAGTTAGCTTTGAAAGTACACAGTCTGAGCACCTAGTAGTCGGCTATTCATGAACCTGTATCGTGGTGTCGAATCGCGCTTGATTATGAACACCGCTACAAGACTACGTGCCAGTAAACCAATAAAATTCCCGTAGGCCAATATCAGAAGACAGATGATGGCTGTAGTCGAGATATATTTGCTGGAGATCTTGTGGTATCGAAAGAATACCGAGATCGTGCCAAAAGGAGTACAAGCGTGGTTACTGAGCGTAACCGAATTCGTACAAGTTCAAAGTCAACGGGAGAGTGAGTGTAATGGCTGTCATTAGTACAGTTAAACAAACGAGCACAGTAAAACAATCACTGGTACAATTGGTTATAATAATAATTGTTTTCATCGAACCAATCGCGTTCTGTTGACAAAAGTAGGTCACTACAAACCCTTATCGATCTTCTTCCTTGAGTCCAAGAGAGACGTTAGCAGCCAGCTTCTATGATACTCAATTCAATCATGACTCAAAACTCACAATAATATAGAGTGAAATCCTAACGAAACGTCAACATATTTAAGAAATGACAATAACGGCATAACTACGCCATAAATGAAAGAGAAATGAGTAATAGGTCTATAATAAATGAATAGTAACTTAAGTAAAGTATAGCATATAACAACAGTTTATGCATTACGAGAAAGCAGAAGAATACAAAAATGCAGTAATTTAAATGGTTGATAAAAAGCAGAAATAACTTCAAAAACAAGGAAATCCCAAATTTTCTGATAATCGTCCTGTTTTAACATGAAGAGGTACGCTTTTCTTCAATATTTGCTTCACTGCAACTCTTTGTTTTCGTTATATCCATGATTCGTTCAGAATTACAGAAATTCAGCTTTATTGTTAATTCTGGTTATATACTAAGTCATTTATGCAAGTTGAACAGGTTCGCACTGGTTGTTTTCATGTACGTAAAGTTTGTTTTTATACAATTTCAAGATGATGTCATACTTATGTCACACATATAGTCCTTACAAATCCAAAACGTCACTTCAGCATTAACTAGCATCGGCGCCTGAATTATGTTAAGTAGTGACTACCTTGTGGTGGTCGGTGTTCGATATATTCCTTAAACTCCGTATACAGTTCGTCTCGGTAACCGTCACTAAATAACGCTCCAACGGTATATTAATCAGAAGGCGAATACGAAGTATTGAATACGTTTATTATGGGACCACACACAGATATCCAAAATTACAGGTGCGTTAAGCAAGCATGAAATAGTTGTGCCGAAAGGCAAACAGGCAAGCGAGCGAAAGAGAGCAAGAGTGCAATGAATATGAATAACATGGAAATATATATACATAGTGAATTGAATGAATCATCGAATCAATTAAGCGGTTAATAGTAAGGTTAGTAGCGTGAATAAATGCATAGGCGGTAAGGATTGCCGAGCATACATGTTCATACATTCGCAACAGTGGTAAAAATACAATGATATAGACAAGTTGTTGTACGGATGACTCAGCTCGTTAATAAGTTAATAAAATGACTTAACCAAATTAAATGTGAACAGACACAATAGCATCTGAGTTGTCATATTTCCTTTTATATATTACCACCACTGAATTAACTACTTCTATAAATCCGGTGTTCATCTTGTTGTACTAATGAGGTATGGCAATTTGGACTGATGCATATATGTGCCTGGTCCTACGTTGCAGCTGACTGACTGACCTTGGGACCACAGATTAAACAATGCCTGGGTTAGGAATAGAGTAAGCACCTTAGATGCCCTTGCTGTTCTGCATCACAATATAGCGTTCAGCTTAGAAAAGAGTAAGAAGTATGTTTGATGTGCTTTTCGGGGCTATACTTCTCCTTCTGATTCTATTCCAAGACAAATTTTACTTGACAAATTAATCAGCGTCAACACTTACAGCTGGATAACCAGCTGGCTATGTTCCTACCTCTCTGAAAGAGAACAGTATACTGTATCTGGAGGAAAGTGTTCAACGTCTCTACTGTCTAAAAGATGCGCTGTTCTTGCACCTATTTTTTTCTGCATGATCTGCCATCTTCCACAGAAAACGCTTTTGTGAAATATGCGGACGATCTCACTGTATGTATGCCGAATTCTACCTCTTTATAACCTATAAAAATGAACGAGTTTTTGGCTCGTATTAAATGGTGGTCTGTTATTAATGGTCTCACACTGGTTGTGGATAGACATCTAAAGTCTTGCAAACTCCTGACAGCTGTTATCTTATGAGATACTAACCATCTTCTTTATTCATATCTTTCTCCTTGTATATCTTCTGATAGAACGAGATGTCAATACATTAAAATCCATGCACGCAAGCAAAAATATAAAAGTTTTTTAACACCTTACCTAGTAAATATTCTCTGTGACGAACAGGTTGTTAGAGTTGACCATTAATAATAATACGAGTCGGGATGGCAAGTCGACTGAGGAGGTTGGGACATGTGTTACGTATGCCCAACCACCTATTTCCTCGATGGACTATGTTGTCTGATATAGTATTTAGCTAGAGATGGCAAACCAAAACATAGCATAAGTCTATGAAGTCACTAACACCATGTTAATAGGTATAGACTACCTGGTTAGCGTCCGCATGTTTATCGTAAGTAGTGGTTACACTTTAAACGATATGGTTCATAATCGTTTGGAATGGCACAGGTGCATCCATTCCTTGCCACCCCCACATAATGTACGCTTTTAAATTCTTTATGATTTTCTTATTTCACTAATTTATGTTTTTCTGTCGAGTTCTATCTTCGATATTTACTCTTTTCTGTTATCATTGATACTGTTGCTACCTCCACTATTCTGGGATTTGGTCTTATAATTTCATCCCTCTTTGCTAATGGGGTATGACAATTTGAACCAATGTACATACGTACTAGTTTCTAAGTTGTAACTAACTAATTGACTGAAATATAATCTGAATCATTGAAAATTAATCAAAATTGTTTCTAATGTTGTGATTTTTTTTTTCTGTCATACGCATAGGTTGTTCGTGCTTTCGATGAATTAACCGGAGAGGAAGTCGCTATTAAAGTGATTAAAAATAAACGTTCTTTTGTACAACAAGCTGAAGTTGAAATTAAATTACTACGTGAAATGTCTATATTTCAATCGAATGAACAATTAGCTACAGATGTTGGAGCTAATTACATTGGTAAATGATTGTTAAATATACTTTCATTTTTATCAAACAATTTTTTTTATATTAATATACGTTAGACTTTCCAGTTTATCTTTCTTTACATTTAATTTCGTCATAGATATCCTCTAAGGAATTATACTGTTTTTTAAAAATTTAATCTTTAAGAAGGATTGATCATCCTTACTAACGAGGAGATTGTGCAGCATTACTCTTTCTATGATTATGAATCCATGATCTATACATAGACATATGTGTAGACTACAGACTTTTGATGCGTCTTTAATTCATTACTTGTGTAACATGAAACGACTGAGTGGTAAGGAATTTCAGGACTAGGCAAAGATGTCAAATTAGTGTATCAAACTGAATATTCATTGACTATGATGTGGTTAGGACATTTGTCGTATTTATGCCTAACCACTCTTTGTCTTGATGACCGATGCTTGCTTGCGTAAAAAGAGGTTGAGACAAAAGCTCCCCCCGACCAAACTAAGCAGTAAAATCAATTAATCAAGTTATCGAAAATTGTCCTGAGCCATGAAAGTACGTGCAGACTAGATAGTTGAGGTGTTCTCACAACAATCATAATCAGTGGTTAGAAATGTTCAGTTACATGACTTATAATTAGTCACCTTTTATTTTCCTCTAGATCTTCAGTTCTAGTATACCTCACTTTGTCTTTTTAAACCATATTCTTAGTTGAGATCGAGTCAATTGAAGCTAGACCACCACGGAAAACGAATCTCTCGAGGCAGGATCGTGGATGCACACTGTTGAGGAGTCCCACAATAGGACGAAACGTCCATCTAGTGCTTTCAGGTTTACCGTGGTGGTTTAGCTTCAATTGACTCATGATCTCTACTATTAAAATTACTATAATATCCACAAAAAACCTTTCTGATATATTCTCAATGTTTAGTTTTTTTATTTTTGTCATTGATACTGTATTATTATTCCCATGTCATTTTGTTTTGTGGTATTATTATGCACACTGCTGAAAATTCAGGTTAGGACGATACAATTTACTTTGTGTTGAGTCTTGTTTACTCGACCTTATTACTTCTACTGCTTAGTATTCCTTAAACACTTTACTCTGCTAGACTGATCTTTAAATCAGAAAACATCTTAAGCAGGAACATGATTACGCAGAAATACTCAAAAGTCTTCTCGATTTATCCGCTAGCGTTGATTAGCTTGATATTGGTCAGTCAGTATGCTGAAACGTAATTTTATATGAAAAATTCTGTAATTCAATTTATGTATCACTTAAACTTTGAATTTTAATTTAATTTATATATCGATCCATTAGATTTGAACTCAATGATATAAAAGCCAAAGATAAATTCTAGGAGCAACTGAAGTCACACTTAAGCAATCTTGAAAACGATGTTGACCCGTATGTTGCTTGGAAAGATGTACGAACAACCATGGAAACAGCAGCGATAACTATTAGTGATCTTAACCAAAAGGTTACAAACACCCAGTCGATTTCTGCGACATCTATTCCACTGATCTTTCTTTTATGTATTACCACTATTGAATTAACTACTATGAATCCGGTGTTGATCTTATTGTGCTAATAATGTATGGCAACTTGGACCGATACACATATGTGCCTGGTCCTATGTTGTAACTGACTGACGATGAGGAGCAAAAACAAATCAGATTTAGCTCGACTAAAAGGATACAGAACGATAGTGAGCTGTGGTGGGCAACGGAAGCAAAAGAGATGGAAAAGGCAGTGACTGTAGATAACGCCATACAGCTTTTCAGACTAGTAAAATGAACTGGGATTAAGAAGTCAAGTGTAAGTAAGCCATTCCGGGGAAAAGATGACACTTACCTACTCTCAGCCCAGAATGATGAGAGGTACACTTTAAGGAAGAGTTCAACTGGCGCTTAACTGCTCTGCAACTAACCCACCATTTTCGAACAGCGTGAATGGAACATTGAAGTAGTTCCTCCGACTCTAACTGAAGTTCAAAAAGCTATAGCTAATCTGAAACGAGAAAGAGCAGCTGATCCAAATGGAATAACTCCGGAGTCTAAAGATGATGGTGCAGTTTTAACGATCAGGTTGACTAATATTTTAGCTAAAGATAGAGAATGACGTAGTCGAACACGTTGACAACTTCACTTATCCTGGGAGTCTGATCAGCCCTTATGGGTTGGTGTCTGACGAAACCTCTGCATGGATTCAGTAAAGCTCGTTTGGATTTTGGTAACTTTCGGCACCTATATCGAAAGCAAGATATCAGTCCATCAATTACAGGACGAGTGTACGAAGCAGTAGTTCGTTCTGTTTTACTTTACGGCTGACCATTAAGGGTAGAGAATACTCATAAGTTACTAGTATTTGATCACAAATATCTTAGAAATATTGCCCGCATGTGTTAGAATCACCGGATAAGTAATAGTGAGGTTAGACTCAGGGTATTAGGGAATGATGATATAGTTCTGTTTCTGGTGAAAACTCTGACAAAATATACGATTTTCTGACTACCTTGTATGAAAATTCAAGCATTTTTCTCTCTCTCTCTAAATCCAAAATGTTGCTTCAGGACTGCTCTACATCAACGTCCGAACTAATGATAGATATTGATGTAGTTGAGCGTGTCGATCTTTTCTCCATATTAAGTTAGGCCACTCTTCCTTTTACTGTACGCCACTGATCTTTTATGGTGAACGTTTTCTATCTATTCAGGTGTTACAACTATTGTATGTTGAATGCACAAAATCCCAATATTATTTATCACCCATTGTCTCCACCCACTAACTTATCTCGGTTATTAGATGGATCCCAAGCAGATAGTTTGCTTCTTTCAACATGACTTCTTGAACTAATGCCATGTGCTTTAATTTGGCGCCTTCTAACTTTCTTTGAACCCACTTCTACGTCAGACAACTTTGTTTGTCGAGGTAGGCGGTGGTTAAGCATTCATACTTCATGTCGTAACCGCTTCGTTCAGTTCAAATTTGATATCTGACCCACTGATTCGCCATTTTATTTAATACCCAACTCCCAACCTCTGGACCTTACATTTACCATACTCTATCAATGATTCGATAGTGTTTATGATTGAATACTAGTGTAGTAACTTACAAATTATTCTCTAGTTTAAAACCATATCTTACATCTACATTTCATGTTTTATTTAAAGCATATATATATATATACTATTCTTATCATTTCTTATCATCAAACTGAACACATGTAATGACAGTTGAATTATCACCATCTATGATATGTATATCGATTTTGTGTTCTGCCTTATTTGTCAATTAATGACTGTATTGTTGTTAACGTTATCATCTATTTTTCATTCAGTTATCTTTTTCATTATTTTCTTGACAATCTATGCGCAAATAATAAATTTTTTTTTAAATAAAAAAAAGAGAAAAAACCGACATTGATTACACATTGATAGTGTTAATTTAGTTGGTTTATTGTTGAATGTCTTTCAGTGAATATGTTCCATAGTTTTCATCAAATCATCTAACACATTATCAGCTGATATTCATTTGTGTATGTATGTATGTGTGTGTAGATGTAGATGTAGGTGTAGGTGTAGGAGTTTGTACGTCATACTATTTTAATAGAACACTTGATTTAGATGTATAAATATGTATAGAATAATTTTATACAAGTGAAATCGAAATCATTTATCATCTTATAAAAGTGATCCTTATTAGTATTATTATCAGTCGTATGTTAATAGATTGAATAATTGGATCATATTTATGATGAATCTATTTTGTGTGTTAATTTTCACTCAATATATTCAATTTTTATTATTGTATAATCTTTTATTTAAATATCATTGTATTGTAGATTTCCAATATTTTATGCGCCATTGTCATTTTTATAAATATCAGAAGGGGTTTTGTGGAGATTTTAGAAATTTCACTGGTTGAAATCATGAGTCAATTGAAGCTAGACCACCATGGAAAACCTGGAAGCACTAGACGGCTGTTTCATTCTAGTACGGGACTCCTCCTTGGAAGTGCGCATCCACGATATCACCCCCCCGCGAGATACGAACCCAGGACCTATCAGTCTCGCGGGCGCGAGCGCTTAACCATTAGACCGTTGAGCCGGCAACTGACGGTGTTATTGTCTAACTTCAACCAATCCACGAAACTGAGCTACACATCCAACATCGTCTAATGGTTAAGCGCTCGCGCCCGCGAGACTGATAGGTCCTGGGTTCGTATCTCGCGGGGGGTGATATCGTGGATGCGCACTTCCAAGGAGGAGTCCCGTACTAGAACGAAACGGCCGTCCAGTGCTTCCAGGTTTTCCGTGGTTATCTAGCTCAAATTGACTCATGATTTCAACCAGTGAAATTTTTATATATTGAAATATTCCCTATTGAATATTAGATTGATATGTAGAACTATTCATTTAAGCAAAGTTTATATTAGTTGCTTTTTTATCAATTATAATCCATGTCTTGTTATTGTGATATTTAACGGGTCCGGATTATCTGTGGAATGTACTATTTTATGCATAAATTATTGACTGTAATACTGATCAGTGTAAAATTTATCACAATGATATAATTAAAGAAAATTGTAAGGATTGTTAAACTATATACTTTACATAATGAACTGATCTTTGTTGTTAGGTAAACAATTAAAATCAGGAAATATTAGGGAGCTTTTTCGTACGAGCATATGAAACTCCTAAGCAGTTCACATTAAAACCATTCATGCCGTAACTAATGGAATGGCAGTTACCCGCTGTTAATGATAGTATTTGAAGAAAATTGTTTCAATATCAAAACATTGGAGCCTGGCTCATTTTAAAGGTTAATTGCTCACTGCATGACCTGAAAGTTCTGCATTGGATATCTAGTTAAAGGTCATCTATCTGCACCAATGAGAAGTTCTATACTACGACAAAACAGATTCCCAGTGCTTCCTGGTTTTTCAATGTTTGTCTAACAAAGTTCAGTTTATTGTGTAAACTTTAATATTTCAATAATATCTAAAATCCATACAACTTAACAAATACCCTATTCTTGTATTATGGAATACTTCATGTAGAGATTCCATTACAAAAGTTTGTTGTTGACAAAAATAAATTATTTTATGTCAAATGTTATTGTACTAGACTTCTAACAGTGTTAATATCTATTCCTAATATCTTATTGCATAACACTATGATCACCATTATTCAAACTACTTATTGTATATATTTCATCATACATATTATGTTCTAACTACCTTCCACTGACTATAATATTCATTTTATTTTCGTATTCAAAAATGATGATCTAGCTTAGATCGACTCATGAATTAAACTATTAAAATACTACAATCACCAGAAATACACTTGATATTGTTTGGCTTGTATCTTCCCATTGAGGTTAAAGACTGCAATCGATCAGTCTGTTATTGGCATATGGTAGGGTACAAGCCAAACAATACCAAGTGAATCTAGATTCGCCCCGTTGCACAAGCAAGTGGCTATCAGGACTCAGTAGCTGAGTGGATAATGTGATGACGTTTGAAGCGAATGGTACTCAGTTCGAGTCCCAGAGTGAACATCAACAACTCTGAGATGCAAGTACATCCAACTGGGGAATCCCAAATAGGAAGAAACACGCGTCCTGGATTCCACTGCTAGCCACTATCCATCATTGCATATTCAGAAATAGTTTATATTATTGTCTTCATTCTTTTTTTTGTGTATACAATGTTATACTACTTATGTGTTCATTTTTCATACATTTTTTTCTCTTTAAATTTAATAGTGAATTTAAAAGGACATTTCAGTTATCATGGTCATTTATGCTTAGTATTTGAATTACTCTCTTATAATTTATATGATTTACTTGGTAATACAAATTATCGTGGTGTATCATTAAATTTAACAAGAAAATTTGCTCAACAATTATGTGCTGCATTAGTATTTCTATCTAGACCAGATGTACAAGTAATACATTGTGATTTAAAACCGGAAAATATTTTATTAGTAAATCCAAAACGTTCAGCAATTAAAGTGATTGATTTTGGTAGTTCATGTCATGTACATGAAAAAGTATATCAATATATTCAATCAAGATTTTATCGGTAAGTTAATGAATTATATTGTTTTATAAATTATTTCATTGATATTATGTAATATTGTATCATTTTATCTTTAATATTATCAATATAGGATTGTGAAAATTGTTAGCTTTTACTGATCAATGTTTGACCATCATTGAAAGCTTAGAAACACACGAACGGTCGTTTCGTTCTAGTATGTGATGCCTCATCAGTGTGTATCCATAACTCCTCACACGAGGAATCGAACTTGACACGCGTAAACACTTAACCATTTATGCGATCACGGTAATGTTGTGGTGTGTGCTAATTATGTAAACATAAGTAGTATATGATGTTAGTCGTGAACAGAATGTTTGGGAGCAGAGAGACAAGAAGATCGAACAGTAAACAATGAAGGCAGAATGCAAATTGTATGAAAATGCAAGAACAATAAAGTTTGAGTCATTTTAAGATGATTGATGGACATTTTGCAAATTGAGCATTAAATATATGGCTGTAAGATTTTATTAACAAGTTCTGTAATTTGTTGTCAAATACATTCGATTGTTCCCAATGGTGTTCTGTTCACTACAATGTCTAATAAGCAACAAACATATAAAAGGGAATATCCTTCTTTCTCTCTTTCAAATATCTAGTCTATCTACAATCTTTTATGAATAAGTGATGTATTTCTTGTTATAATTATCGATTTATTCGTTGTTGTTTTTTTACGCTCCATGATTATCATTACTACTGATCGATTACACAGTATTTATTTTTGCTGACAAAATAAATTCTACTATACTACCAATTAGTTACTTGTAATTGTGAAAATGTTAACTGTCTATTTTGATGATACTAAATAATATGGGGTATATTTCTGCGTGTTTGGAAAGCTGGTTAAGTCCTATTACAGTAGTAGTATTAGCAGTGTAGTGAACAAGAACACCAATGGGGACAATCGAATGTACTTAGGCACATAATTACAGAGCGTCTCAATAAAATCTGAGAACCATATATTAAATACTTAATTTGCAAAATATCAATCCATCATATCCAGCTTGACTGTTCCTGTTGCAAACATCAATCCATTGTCTCAGATTTCATTGTTGATGCGTTTTCATGCCAATTGCGTTTCGTTCCCGTTCTTTCCTCATCGACCGTCTACTGAAATACATTCTATGCCTGACCACCGTCATATACTATTTTTGTGGATATAAGCGACTCAGACCACAGTAGGAGTGTAGTGAACAAGAACACCAATGGGGACAATCGAATGTATTTAAATACGAAGTTAAATGTCGTCTTAGTGAAATTTGATGACCATACAGAAAATACTTAATTTACAAAATGTCAATCAATTGTCTCAAACTTGACTGTTTCTTTGCAAATGTCAATCGATCGTCTCACAATTCACTGTTCCATCACTTTCATACAAATTGCTTTCTGTTCCTGTTCTTTCCTTCTCGACCTTCTCTACCAGATATTCTATTCCTGACTAGTGTTTTATACTACTTATATCATTATAAGTAGCATACACAGGAATAGCATATTAGTAATAAGAATAAGACTTGGACCGATTTATTGATTCCCATACCAACACTCTTCTTGATGATTGTATTTTTTTCCCTCTTCTCAATTAAATATATGTTTACTTCATTGTTTTTCTTGAAACAATACAAAAATGGCTAATAATATTTGCATAACATTATAATGAACGCATTCATTTATTATTTCATGGGTTTCTTTCTTCAACTAATATACCGTTTAATAACTTTAGTTATTTCCATTTATTAATGGAATGTATGTGAATTTCCATGCAAAAACTGAATTACCAATCAATAATAAACAAGTTGTTTGAAATGTGAAACGATTCAAGAATTAAAGTTTCAACAGGGTTGTTTTGTTTTTTAAATAGTTTTCAAGGGTGTTAGTTCTAGAATACTTAATCTTTTTATTACGTAATATAACACACTTCTTTCTGAAAGTTTACAAAGGAAAAGAGGACGAGTAAGCTCGATTCACTAGATTATGACTATAAGTAATTGAAGACGAGGTGTTTTAGATTTTTTTTAACCATTTTTCCCATTCTTTTGTCTGTTCTTTCTTGTTGTACTTTGTATTAGCGAACATAAATATTTATGAAAAAAACACAGACTATTTCGGGGAAAAAATTTCCCAGTGATATAGTTATTTGTGTTCTATCGCAATTTCAAACCGATCTAAGTTAGGTAGTCATTAAGGATCTGAAAACCCTGGACAATTGTTTTATCCTAGTATAGGACTTGTCAACTTGGCACTAGGGAAAGAACACTAGGACCTTCGGTTTCGCACGCGAATTATTTCATTTTTATTTATTTAAACACATAAATATTGGTAGAATAAGGCACCACATAAATCATTTGATTTGTGTGAGGGCTGGGATATTACCCGAGTTCCCAAAGCAAAACAGGTGGTTTTCCTAGTGGGCCAGTCGCCGAGTCTTTGACCTGAAAGCTTAATTTACAAGGTATCGGAGCAATGTGAGGTGATGCAGTCCCATGGTAGCCGGTGACCAACAATAGGTTCATACACCATTTCTTTACCTAAGATCCTGGAGCCTATGTGCACTATTTTTTTGAATCAGGATTTTCCAACTCCCCTAGATGGGTCTACCGTATCCTTCACTCGCATACTTGACTGTTAAACCACTTAATTGGAATTCAATAATGTACAGATCTAATTTCAAACAATCCAATCTTTACCAGGTTTTACTTTAATGTACAGTAATGTTTATATGCATGTGCAAAAAATCAAATCAAGTTAAATTATTCGTCAATAATCACATTGAAAAACGATAACGTAAATAGTATGAATTGACACTCAGATAACAGGTGTACTGGTAGTGACAAAAATAAAGACAGATTGAATGAATATTTTAATACAGGAAGCAGGCCACACTTACGTTGTAAGTGTGCAAACAATCTGTTAAAGTATATGGATACAAAATAAAGTAAAGAAAAGCAAACAAACAATGGACTTAAAAGAATCAAATAACCTTTTATTTTAATCAGATCAAGAGAAATGCCAATTATTCTTAGGATATAAGACTAGGTTCGTAGGCTCAAATCCTTACTGTTTTAATTGTATGTAGGAAAGCAAATCGAACCCTGTTGGAAAAAAATGCAAAGGTTTATGATTGATCATTTGGAACAATTTAGTGGTATTTAACACCTGACTGTGATAAGACAGGGCTACATATTATCTCTGTTTTACTCTTTTCAAATCACATAGGGATATCTTCACTCATTTGTTGGTTAAGTCGCCGGTTATCCTCAATATAATTTCCTCTACAGGAGCAGCTGAATTCATAGATATAAAGCAGAGGCAGAGTTATCCTTTGTTTGAGTAAACATCTTTAGTCGATTAGACAATGGAAAGTTAAGATCAGCTGTGTGGAAGGAGTTTTCAACCCTTTCTCTCTTCTTCAATGAATACTTCCTTAATTTCTATCTCATTCAAACCAATCTGTTTGACTGTATGGATGATTTAGAAATATTGCTTATAGTGGAATAACTTGACCTAGGACTTATGAATTATAACTACCATACTCCTTTTTTGATATCCAATCGGAGTAATGTTTGGAGGTGTGTTTTGCAAGAGCTCACTTTTGTGCAACCGAATTAATCTACTCCACAAGAGCGAGTAAACTCATCGATACACTCATCAATGTCTTCATGGAAAGTTTTCCTACATATTATTTGGTGTCGCTGTTTTGAATTTAAGCTTGTGAAAGTTATTAATATTGATAAATATTTTTCGGAGATTACATATTTCGCTGCATTTGTACGAATTCGTCTGATTTTCGTTTACAGAAAGTGTGGATCAAAATTCGTTTCCGACCTAATAGGACCAAACTTTATAATTTTATACACGTTCCATGATGACCTTCCATTTATGGAACTTAGTAACTAATAATCTGATTTTTTTCAATAGAATATTCATGAAGTAAAATTCTGATTGTAACATGAACTTTATTTATTGACAACTTAGTCGTTGAGTTCGATATTTTTATCGCAAATAGTCAGGTACCATCCACATATCTGATATATAGATGAAAACTCGATTATGGGTCTAAGTGCCTTGAAATAGTCACCTAGATGACAGGCCCTCAACCATCCAATCTGTAGTCCATTAATTTATTTATAAAACTTATTGTTTAACCTAAATTGCACATTAAAAGTTCTAAGAATATTTGTCTTTAGAATATGTTACATGATAATATATAGTCTCATAATTTGATACAGTGCTTTGCCTTGTTTTTTTAATTGTTAGTTGATACTGTTGTAAGTAGTTTAAACTAACACTTGTCTCTATTACCATCATGTTCTTCACACTAAAAATAACTTCAATTCGCTACGAAATATATGTATGTATTCCCTAACCAACTGACTTCAGCTGAAGATAACTATTGAACTCGAGATAACTGTATACACTTACTTATATGAGAAAATATAAGGATCGCGATGTATTGCTCATCACTAAGTTATTCAAAAATGAGTATTCCAAAGTGTTAACTAAGAATAAAGGATAAATGTTATACACAGAGATCGTTATGCATTTAGTTTAGACAAACGATATACAATCAAATAATTAATTCAAAGATTCGAAACCCACTCTGTGTACTTAATTTCAAATAGCTACGTGATATAGTTGTCTTTTCTTGTTATTTATTAGTGCTGTCTCACGTTTTTCTTCTCTGGAGCATTACCATTATTATCATATATCACTCATTTATACTTTGCCTTTCATTTATAATGTATAATACAAAGAAATTATGAGAACAACTAGTCTTTTTTTACTTACTAGTATTATTGGTTATTATGTCCACCTCTCGTTTTTATTGCTTATTTCTCAAAAAAATTCATGTCTTCTTTTTTCCATATTAAGCTCTCCAGAAGTATTGTTCAATTTAGACTATGGTTTGGGTATTGATATGTGGTCACTTGGCTGTATTTTAGTCGAAATGCACACTGGCGAACCATTATTTTGCGGAGCGAATGAGGTTTGTTTGTTATATATTGTTGTTATAATTCCCTTTCATTAATTATTATATCTATCTCTATGTTTAAGATTATCGTGTATTGATAACTCAACATCTTATGCAACAGTAATTGTCAGTAGAGATAATCACTCAGTATATTAGACTCAATTGTGTGGGACCTGTTTCATAGTTATTACTCAATTCGTCTGTATGTTTTGGTATAGTCAGGATTGGAGACAATGTACTCCTCGAAATAGTCTCATACGACGATATACTTATAACCTCTGACATATAAGTTCTACTCACTGTCTTCATGCGATTGGAATGTCTTTTCGAAAATGAGGGGACGAAAAACGAGCATCAGGCACTAAAACTGAAGGGTGGATATTCAAGGATCACCTAGATGAGTTGGGAAATAATGATTCCAAACCAGTGGTTCACATGGGCTTCAGGATCCTAAATAACGAAAGGTGAATGAACCTATCTTTATTCACTGATTTCCACGAGACTACATCTTCACTCCTTTGTGGACAAAACTTTCCACTCAAGAGCTCATAGGAATTCGCTCCCTAAGTATCACGGCTCACACATTTTATTTTATGTAGCGCATCCTATTTTTTGTGTCTAGCTACACCAGGTTGTATATAAATTATATAGACAAATAATTATTGGAACAACTTTGACACACCATATCTGTTTGTTTATTGTATAAACAAAGGAATTATCACAATCGGTAAACTGAAATCCCTCGGTTTATTTGTTTTTAACAAAAAATTGTTTTTGAATCATCTTCAAATGTGACCCTTATTAGTCCTGTGCATTTTACTCACTATGAAACTGATTGTTATAAAAACGTCATGCATATATTGCATAGAATATGGTTTTTTTGCATACCACACCAATATATAACCTTTTTGCATATATAATCAGATAGGCGCATACCTGTAAGAACTGTGTCGCAATATCGTTCAATAGTTCATTAGTTTTGTCAACGTTTTTTCAGATCTGTTTTTGGAAATTTTCTCCACATAATCCATAAACATTGACTGTAGCTCTGAAGGCAGGTTTCTAACTGAGTATTGTCTTTGAAGAAGATTCCTTTCCAAGTCGCATATATTCATTGTTAAAGTGTCAATTTGGTTCGAAGCATGTCTTTCAAGTGTTTTAGCATTCGGATAGTTTCTGTTGCGACGTAAAGACTTCCAATATATTTTAGGATATCTATTAGATTGTATACAATTTATAGCAAATCCTAAGCTCGTTTTCGCTTCTGTGAGACGTGCATTAAACTTCAGAAACTCATTGAGTGTCTTAAATGCAGCGGGATCTTCACGCGATTTTAGAATATTAAAGATTCCCATTGTGAAAATTAGAACAACACATATAAGCGAACAATTGTTTTCAATTGGATCATCATCAGGCTTTGCTCTAATATGCAGTAATATTTATACGAAAATGTTAAACCAATCAAGGCAATTTTGGATCAGTAATTACAGTGAAATAGGATAAGTCATCACACATAATAGATAAAAGTACAAGTTGATAGTAGGAAGACAGGTGTACTGATAGTAGGTAGGAATAATAAAATACGATAACAAAAGTCTTATCAATAGTTAAACATTGGGAGTAGTAGGTCAAACATGGGTAAATGGAGTAGTTATCACAAAACATTAAGATCATTACGTAATAAGAAGTGTGTAAATAATTAGATAGTGAAGAATGCAAATGTAAAGAGGCGAATAATTCCAAACAAATAATGGATGTGTAAATAAGGTTAATAATAGATTAATAATATTAATAATAAAAGAAAAATGAAGAAATAAAAATTAATCGGTAGTTAAGTGATAACTGGCCATGGAAGGGATAGGGGAGTTACAAATTTCTTCTGTACACATAGATTGGGGTTATATGTACGGATTCCTATGGCTTCAGCTATATGTAGGAGACGGGAACGAACTCCGTTGGGAAATGATGGAGGTAAACAATAGATCACTCGAAATGATTTCGATTTATCTACCGCATGACCACTATCAATAAGATGTGCCAGGATTGAACTGCGTACTGTTTTTATCTGGCCGTTTATGAACCAAGTTGGTAGATGTTCATTCATTCGTTGGCTAAGTTGTCTAGTTGTACGCCCGATATAGCTATCTCCACAGGAGCAGCTGAATTTGTAGATGCACATTGAGGAGGCCAACTCAGGTAACTTATCCTTCGTTGGAGTAGACATCGCTGGTCGACAAGAGAAAGTCAACGCAAGATTGGCTGCGTAAAATGTTCTGCTGATTACTTTCGTTAACCTATATTTCAAAGTATCACTAGCCACATCCCCGTTGAATTGTAGTTTCATGTATAAAGGTTTCTTACGAACAGTGGAAATCTCCGACTTCTTTATTATATCATACATGTACTTCTTAATGAAAGCACCGGGGTAGCCGATCTCGGTCAGTGAGTTGTTAATAAATTCAAGCTCCTGACTTAAAGTATCACCTGTACAAATCTTATTTGCTCTGCTTGTGAGACATCTAACCAAATTTCTATTGTAGCGGATAGGTGTGAAACTGCAGAAGTGGGTATATTGGCAGGTAGAGGGACTTTTTCTATACACGCTTCTACTTAATGTGCCATCACATCGTTTGCTTAGTGTGACGTCAAGGAAGTTCAGCTTTTTGTCATGCTCGCATTCACCAGTGAAACTGATCGCTGGGTGAACACTGTTAAATTGTTCTAAGAGTTTCTCCTTACTGGTGTTTTGATCTGCGACAATGAAAGTGTCGTCAATGTAGCGGCAATATAAATCAAGCTTATTAATAGTCTCATTAAGAGGTCCATTTTCTAGCTTTGCTAGAAAGAGATCAGCTAAAATCGGGCCTAGAGGTAAAAAAAATTTCGCCAAACATTTCAATTCAACTGTCGGTGTATTTTAAAGGTACAATTTTATCCATGTTATTACCCCTTCCACTTAAATTGTTTTACTAGTTTTCTTTACTGTATTTTACTCTTCAGCTTGAACAACTGCTTCAAATTATCGAAGTGCTTGGTTTCCCACCGGTGTATATGATTGAAGCTAGTCCTAAATTATCAAACTTTTTTGAATGCATACCGGTGAATTCGAATTCTACTTCAACGGCAACAACAACAACAACAACAAACTTAATCAGTACTTCTACCACTGATGGTGGTGCTGACTTTACTGCCAATAATACTAGTATTAATCCTGCCTCTAACCCTACAACGACACCATCGACAACCACATATGGTACATTAACAACTACAATTAAAACAAACACAATAGCCGGAGATAATACAGTGGCAGCAACAACAACAACCACTGTTTTATCTTCATCAAAAAATACTACTAATGCTACTACTACTACCACCATTAGTAGTAGTTCGGCCTGTGGTGCTGATTGTATTAATTATTGCTCCAATAGTAGTACAAATGTAAAAAATCCAATCAACCCTGGTGTTACAAATAGCTGTGATAATAATAATAGCTCGAATACATCAAACAATATAGCTGATAAATTGAATACAGGCGTATTATTATCAACATCTGGGACTGTGTTTTACAAACCGAAACGTGTATGGACTAAACAAGAGTGTACTTATGAGGTGAGTAAATCTTGTTAACAAAGAAAAATACAATATTTTGTCCTCTGAACTATAAATGATAAGATTTGTTTCCCTGAGACTACTTATTTCGAGAAGAGGTTACAGTTACAGTTATCTTTAAAACTTTCACTAAGCCTGAAAAATACCAGAGACCGTTCACTAGTTGGTGTCTTCAGTTGCTTCTAGAACTAGATTCTTAGGAATTTTGACCATTGTTCATTGTTATCATGCTATTCAGTATTATTCCTCTAATGAGAAATAGAAGTAATGAGGCTGTGAACTATAAATGGCGAGTTTGCGCTATACTCCATAACTGACGTTGATAAATTCTTGATTTCGTTCAGCCAATCTGAATATGGCAAAGATGAATGAATAATTTCTTTTTGCTAAGATTAGTATGAAAACTTTAGAATTGGGATCAAGTTTTACATATTGGTTATATGGAGCCTAAGTCTTTGGGTTCCAAATCTTAATCTTTAAATTCAAACACTTACCCCTAAAATCATAGTCCTATCCTTAAACTTAAATATCTGAAATTCCTTTTATGTTCTTATCACATGATAAGATTGCCAGTTAGAACACCAACTTGTTGACCAGTACGAAAAGCCTAGAGTCAACTGCGAGTTTTTATGGGTCCTCTGAGATAGTAGCTCCTCACCTAACTCAACCGGTTCTGTCCAGAACACTAATGTCAGCCTCCGCTATATCATTCATTCATACGCTTCAGAAATACACAGTTTATATACAAACAAATCAGACCGCATCATACCATAAAATAAATAATAACAATTATACAAGATTAGGCTAAAAGTGTCTGTGATTGTGAAAGATTGTGACTAACATATTGGGAATAACTTTAGAATAGTAAATCGTATCGTAATAATCAATGGGTCAAATAAAAGCTTATAATAAAAGGAATATAAATAAATATAGTTACTTAACAGCTATATAACAAGAATATATGTAATAATAGTCCATAAATAGTTCCTACCAGTTACTATCTATTTATTCTTCGTTAGGATATAACACCTTTCATTTGTAATACTAATCATCGCACGTTGAATAGACAATATGCCATTTCTTTATATACCTCAAAATATTAAAATGAATTGTTCATTCCTGGATTTACTCACTTTTGAAGAAAGTAGTTCAGCTTTACTGAGTTATCTTCTTAAATAATTTTTTGTAATTTTTGTATTTTACACTATTATCATTTGACATTTTCTTCAATGATGTAGTTGTTATCGTTCACATCTCATCAGTTGTGTTCACTTTTCTTGTAATTTTTTTCCCAATTCCGTCAATCCAGACTGCAAATTTCCCGGGGGTTTTTTTCGCCTTACTCATTTGTTGTGACTTATACTAGTTAGCAATGTCATTTTAATGTGAAGAAAAGTGTTTACAATTTATTGAGTACTTTGTAAACTTCTTTTTATTGTTTGTTTCTTTCTCTTTGATTCGTGATTTCTCAACACAGTCACTATCTGTGGTAAAGCACACATTCAAAAGTAGTAGTATCTTGATAAAAAAAATATTTTAGATATTTAAAAAGGACAACTTTCATTGAATTTGCTCCTCTCTTCATCTTACTTGATAATATACATTTAGTTTGTTGATCGATTATTTCATCTTCTAAAGTATTTGTTCACAAATTGAATTTGGATGGATATTCAGTTTCTTGAAGTGATAATAATGACCAACTTCGTTGCACTAGAATGCACACATTTGATTATAGGACTCAGTATCTAAGTGAATAACGCGATGGCGTTTGAAGCGAACAATACTCGGTTTGAGTCCCAGCCAGAGTGAACATCAACTCTGAGATGCATTTACATTCAGTTGATGAGTCCTAAATAGGACGAAACGCATGTTCTGGATTCCAATGCTAGCCACTATATTTGATTTTATCATATCAGTTGACTAATAACTATGTTGTACTAGATTCTGTTAGAGGAAATCAATTTTCAACCGATAAGATACAATGTACAAATTATAGATTATCTTATAATCTATAGCAGTCTGATTAACTAATATAATTCATAATGTGAAATATTATATCTATGTAATCATATACATTCATGATCTCTGAGTTGTTGTTGTTTTTCTCTCTCTCCTGAATCATTGAAAAATGTCTAATATTTCCAAGTAATAATTAATGGACAATAGAATATAATTTACAAAAGTATTGAAGTGATCTAATTTTTAACTCTTTCACATTCATTAATTCATTGAAGAAAAAAACTTCTATCAAATATTAATTTCATATTTTTTTTAATGAGGTGAATTGACGATGAGTTCATGTCTGATGGGGATCTCGTCACAGATATAGAAACCTGGATTTATATTTACCTGTTTTCATCACTCGTGATGTAGGCGAGATGTCCATCTACCGAATGAAGGATAAGTCTTCCACACAGCAGTTCGTTACGATCTACTTTCTGTGTATGGAACATAGACATTAAGAGTAGAGGATATTCGTAGGTTACTAGTATCTGAAAATAAGTCTCTTTGGCGAGACTCTAATTTATGAACGAGCCAATCAAAAGCGTTTTAGAGATTTCAAGGCTACGGCGCCAACTTCAGTGCTTAATGCTAATGTACGATCGGTTCATAAGAAATTTTGTACAAAACGTGATAATTCCGAGGCTATAACAAATAAAACGGCGAGACTATGATTTCTGAACGAATCAATCAGGTATAAGTTAACAGATCCCGGATTTTAACGCGAAAGCCTTTCATCCATTCGGCTAAATATTTAGCCAAATCTACATAAATTTCTGGCATCATAGCTGGTGTCAGTTCGTGATGGAAACCCCATATATAATTCTTAACTAAAGCAAATTATGACAATTATCGCGAACCGGATAATAAAAGCACCAGTAACACTAGCTGCAGTCAGATACTACAATATATAGGGATGTTTGGAGAGCTTAAAGACTTTTACATAGGTTTGTTTATGTGCATCGTGTCGTTATCCACAAGTGGCATTTTGTGTACTCAACAACTGGAGTGCACATAAACAATATCGAAGCTATGTGGGCGACGCTCAAAGAGTTTTTGAGACTTTATCATAGCTCCAGAGGCCGACTTTTCTGTAGCCGTACGGATGATTTCATCTACTACATACACTACGATTTTAGAACCTCTGAACCTCTTCCTAACGTTGACAAGTTTTTGAACCACCTTGGTTTTTTATAATATATTTTTACTCTATACTTCCTGTTTTCTGATTGGCTACTATTTCTCAAGGTCACTTAGGATTCATTCAAAGGTCGTTCATAAATTAGAGTCTCTCTGTATCTTTAAAACATCATCCGTGAATTTCGGAACCAAAGAGTAAGCAATGCCTGGGTTAGACATAGGGTACATGAGAAAAAGTGCAAATATATTAAAAAGGTATGAAATACTCATTAGTTGGAGTGGTTGAGACATATGTTGTGTATGCTCAACTACTGCCTACCTAGATGCACCATGTTTATGTAGTAATTAGATGGAAGAAAGCCAGATGCGGCAAATCAAGACGTACCAGTTCACGAAGTCACTGACTACTGGACTAAGCTGTATTAACAGGTGTAAACTGCCCGCTTAAGGTAAGCGTGATTATCGTAACTGATGTTCTGAGATACTGTGTGATAAAATTCAGAATCGATGACAATGGTACAAATGAATTCACTATTTATCTTTTTTTAGTACCTGAATCCCGAAATCTCTTTACTTTTTTTCTGTTGTCTACATCAAATCTTCGCTACCATTGATACCATCGTTGCTTCTACTACGTGGGATTTATCTTAATAATTTCGTCCCATTGTTCTAATGAGGGTATATATCAACTTGAGTTGATACACATTTGTATCTGATTTTTCTTTGCTTATCACTGACTGATTAATTCAGTTATTATTAGCTAAACAGTTTTAGTTACTCAATACTTATTTCTAGTTAGTAACTATCATTGAAAATATCTTTTTTTGTAGTGTAAATTTTCTGGAGTTGGAACAAGAACATTGCGTACAGTTGTTGGAGCTGATATTGGTGGGCCTAAAAGTTGTCGTCGTGGGGAACAAGGTCATACACCTGAAGATTATGATAAATTTGTCGATTTGATCCAACGTATGTTAGTATATGAGCCACGATTTCGTATTCGTCCGGAGGAAGCTCTCACGCATCGCTTTTTCACACGTAAAGATGAAGGTGGTAAGAACTCATTTTTAATATCAAGTTAAAATTGATGTGATTCCAGTTCCCCTTAGTAAATGACGTAACATGAATATTTTCTATAAAGTAATACATATACAACTGTCGTTTCGTTTTGACTCATTTAAAGTGACTGGAAATTTCAAGTCTGATGTAGATAAACATCATCTAATCGACTAATAATTTATGTGTAATGCCAATCGAGAGGGAATAAGATATGTAAGATAGTTTTTTTGGCGAACTGACTGAAACTAAACATGTAAACTACTGGATGCGCTTCAAGGATTTCAATATTAAACGTTTGCCGTGATACCTGGAGCTCCGGTGTTCAGTCTTTTGTGATGATACGGTTCGTAGGTGCCTATTGCTACTAATCAGTCACGTACTAGGACAAAAAATTTGTTTATCGCTTCCTGGTTTTTAATAGTTATTTAACTTAGACCAGTTCATAATCTCAACAATCTATTTAAATTATTGTTTATTTAAAAAACGCTTAAGAGTCTCCTTGATTTTTTCAATGATCTTTGTATTTAAAATTATATTATATATTTTATAGCATTTTTATTATTGAAGTGGTTCTATGTAAAATAAGGGTAAATATCCTTTTGTTTGAATAATTCTATCTTTGCTCTCATATGTACATTTCATATTCCAAGTTTTTATCAAATATTTTGCCTTTCTGGATGCCTTTTCGTCGTTATTCTATAATAAAGCATTCAGTCAGACACTTGTTCATAATCAACATAGAGTATAACAAAACTTTACACCGAAAGAAGTTCCCATACCACATTGAGACAACTAGATAAAGCCAACAAGAATCGAAATAATTAACTATAAATGATAATAAAAAAGTCCTATCTTTAAGAATATAGTTATGAAGAGGTATACACGAAAGAATTCTGGAACTCCAAGATCTACTGAAGAATAAAAGTGAATTCATCCGCACCATTATGACCGATTTTTGTCTCATCTCACCTAACATCTCCATTCATTAATCACAGTCATCACCGGATTCTAGCCAGACCGCTTGCAATACTTCTAAGACACTTGTGATAAAAATTCTGCAGTCAATCCACGTTTTTTACTGTCATCACATACTGTCACATTGTTAAAATAATTACGGACCAGATGAACTGAATGTTCTCCATCAGTTATAAAGAAACATATGGTCTATCATGAGTATGTAAAGTAATTATTATGTCCCACTGTCCTAGATTCAATAAATACTAACCTTAAACCTAGCAATTATGCAGTTGACTTTTTATAACATTGTTAAGAATGCTAATCCCCAGAAATCACTTGGTAAGCGTCTCATTTTTGTGACTTCATTTTGGAAACTTGAATTCCTTATTTTCACTAAAAAAGCGCCCATTTTTACCTTCAGTTTGTATTTCCCACGTAGAAGGACTTTAAATGTCATTAGTTCGTGCTTCCGATTGCTTATGGTGAATACATTTCCATAATCTGAATTCGATCTTCTCCCTCTAGTTAGTAGGGCTTAGGTGCAGTGGAATAGTTTAGCTTTTCATGTTGTTATGTTGCTGAATTTCGTTCCGTTCGCCGGTTTAAGGTGATACCGTAATCTGTTCAAATGTAACAAGCATATTCACTTAAATAAGTATATATATATATATATATATATATATATATATATATATATACTACAAATTACTCAATGTCTATGTTTACATTCATTTACAAAGTTCTAATGTAAATATATCTCCCCTTACTAAATCATACATGACTTAGGATATTACGGGAAAATTGAAACGGATAATAACATAATAATATTTAAATGCATATCATCTTCATTGTAACCGTTTTTTAATTTTTCCATATGAAGGTTAAGTAATCAATCACTGCTAGTCCAGTCATTAATGTGTATTTATCTCTCTTAACATACTCTTTTTGAATATGTCACTTACATTAGAAATAGCTGCCTAATTTCGATAGATATTTTATGGTGCATCAAGAAGAATTATGTTTTCTATATTACATATAATTCTAAACAAAAGTAGTTGCTTGTCAAATAACATACTATTACGTAGTATGTGTATTATTCTGTGTAATTAGATGAGAACAAGTTACTTGAATTTGTCAATATGTATTGTACTGCATGTAGTTCCTCTTGAGTAACTACCGGTCTGGTCCCAAGCCCAGGTAAAGGATGAGGATTAGATATAAGGTCAGCAACCTCATCCCGTAGAAAACAATCTAAAAATAAGCACCGATTGCCAAGTGTTTAATAATCTTATTACAAGTAAATTGTTACATATCTGTTTATATTACTCTTGTATTCTATTTTCTACTCTCTTTTATCTCTTTTATAAAAACATAGGACAACAGAAACAACAAACTGGTAACAATAGCTCTTCTTCAACCACTTCAACTGTCAATCCGCCGCTTACAACTTGTTCAATAATAACCACAACAGCCAATGTCATTAGTAGTAATAGTAGCACTACTACTACTACTTCTAATACTACTACCACAGTCATCACTAATACTTCTGTTACTGGTTCCAATACAAATACAATATCACTTTCTTGTCAGTCTGCTTCCACCAATAATAATAAACAGTCTCCTTCTAGTAACTTAACGCATTGTATTCATGAAAAGCTTCCCTCCAGTAGTAGTAATAGTAGTGGTAGTAGCACTACCACGACGATGACGACTACATCTCATCAGCATTATAATTCAGAACAGGATATAATGAATGCATCCTACTTAACATTTGCTCCAAATCAAGAAATTAAACTAACTGGATCAATTGTTACTTCTACTACTGCTGCCGTTCCACCACCACCATAGCGACTTCGACCGATTAAATATCCCTTCATATTACTCATAAAAAGTCGGTAGATATGAATGCAATCTATCATTTTTTTGGGTTGATTGGTTGGTTGGTTTGAAATCTTCACAATATTATAGAGTGACAGTGATATTATTGTTAGTGATTGTGTAATTTGTTTCTTTATACATTTATCTGCCTAATTCATTCACTTTGTTGGGTTTTCTCTCTCTTATTTATCTTATATTATATTCCTTATTTCTACGGAAACAAATATATATATATATATATATATATATATATATATATATATATATATATATAAGCTATCGATCATTCTATCTTCCTTTTTTATCCCCGTCAATGTCATCTACCTTATTCCTAAGCATAAATAATAACACACATTGGTGAAATTCTCTTGAATCAATCTCAACATAATATGCTGTTATTATTTAATTTTTTTTGTTTTATTTTTGATTCATTAAAACACCATGAAGCTTTTATCATGTTCAAGTATCAATAGTTATCATTAAATTGTTTGTGTAAATAATAATAATAATACCAGTAGTAACTGTTGTTGTTGTTGTAATAATAATAATGGTGATAACGACAATGATCGCCTTTCTTCATCGAAACTAATACACATAGAAAAATACAAAAGCAAGAATGTAATGTTTAATGATTATGTTCACATACTCTCTTAAATTGGTATTATTAAGCTGATAATACTGTTTATGTGTATGTTATTTACAAGATACTTTTCAGCACTCAAATACATCACACATACAAGTTTCCTTGTTTGTTTTAATAAAATACAGTTTCAATTTGAAAAGAACAAGAAAACTGATCAATCTGTGTATGTTACTCTACTTGGTAATGACGATAGTCTCTTAGAGTTATCCTAACTTGATCAAAACAAATCACTTGCTTTTTCTTCTGGATTATATTTATTCTAAAATGATAAAAATGTTAAGCACAAGATATGAATAGAACAATTATTTCCTCCATGAGGATTTTTTTTTCCTTCTTTCTTTTGTCTGATGGTCATTACTTTGGCAGCAGTTCTTTTGTGTATGTGAAGTCTTGTGAAGTAATATTAATGATAATAATAATAACTACTTTCTTTACATAATTCATAATAATAATACTATCAATTACATTCATGAATGTAATCATTTGTTTTATAGCAAAGTGAAAATTGATAGAAGGATCTTCGTATATATATATATATATATATATATATATATATATATATATATATATATATATATAAACGCTAATCTTTGAAGTCCTTAATATTTATTCTCTTGTATTTATTTCAACTGCTGATTATAACTTGCTTCTATTATACATTTACTATTTTCTTCTAGACATTATTTACTCTAATATAAGATGATGTTAATACAACAACAACAAGAATAACAATAATAGTCAGTTCATCCGTTATTGTTATTGTTGTTGTTGTTTCAATGATAGTAATTTGTTTTCTATTAAATAAATAAAAAGCACATTTCATAAAGTAAAATATAAGGCCAATAAAATGATGTATGAGTATATGATTGATTGAATTATCTTATATTCAATACAATTTAATTGTTTTTATTTACATTTATTATTACTTTTAATTGTCATGAATATTAATTTACCAATTTATCATTGTGTAATACCAACTATTTCATTGTTTTATTGTTTGAAAAACATGAACTGGCATTCCTTTATATCATGTGTTGCTTTGTAAAGATAAATTTCCTATTCTATTATTATTATTATTATTATTATTATTATTATAAGTAGTATTATTACTTTATTCTTCTTCCTCTTCTTCTGTTTTTCCTTCTAATATTCTCTTCTATTTATATTTTAGTTATAAAATAAAAGTATACAGGTTTATCATTCAACAATGATCTTACTCGGTGTATTCTTCTTCTTCTCTATAGGCTAAATTCTCTTTTCTTTCTTTCTTTTTTGTTTTATACACATAATTCTGACTATTGTATTTATACATAAACTAATAAATTACAAGTGTATTCCTTCAAATAACAATAGATAGATGTGATGTTGCCCCCCCCCTTTACATAAAACATACATACACGCGTGCACTCACGCACACACACATACAAACAATCATATACATGTTTTGTCAAATACAATTGATTTAATTATTTTGTTGTTATAATTGTGCCTTTCTCTTAAATAAATAAATAAATCAAACTTAATACCCCCACTGAAAAGTGCTTGATTGATGTACATGTAAATGTTCTCTAACTAGACACATTTCTCTTCTTCTGTAAAGTGTTATTTCTTCTTTTTTTTCAAAGAAAAATAAAAGGTTTTGCTTATGTATATCCATTTCAATAAAGAGATAGTCAATCTAATCTATTTTTAATGTTCATAGGTAGCGTTCGAAATGAATGAATGATCAATCCCTTCTTTATATATATATATATATATATATATATATATATATATATATATATATCCCATCATTATTCATTAAAGCAATATAATTGAGTTATAGTATTTCATATTCATTGTTCTTATGTAATATTTTATAATAAAAAAAAGTATTCAATTCAATTGTATTTTAACGTGTATCTTCTTGTGTTTTATTCCAATAACAGCTGTCATTGGATGTCATATATATATATATATATATATATATATATATATATATATATATATATATATATATATATATATATATATATGTATATATATATATTATATATGTACATGCCTAATTTATGTTTTCAGTTGTATTTTATGCTTGTTTATTATTCATTCACTTTATATAACCATTATTAATGAAGCTTTTTAATAACAATTAAAGATTATTCACAATCATAAATCAAATTTCTATTATCTATTTGTTTTCAATTTACAGTTTTGTTTTCTTATCAATTTTTAATCATCATCATCATCAAGTTGTTGTTTGTTTTTGTTTTGTTCTTTTTTTTTGTAACGAAAGTGTTTCTTCTCCGGTGTATGCGTTGTTTTGATGTTGGCTTTTTAAAAATAAAAAGTACCTGAACTTATTTGTTTATTTTCCTAGTGTTTGTTTGTTTGTTTGTTTATATTTTTTCGGAAAAAAAAGAGGTTATTTTTCATTTGCTCACTGGTTCCTCGAATATTCTTTTTTTGCTTTTATTTATATCAATTTCATATATATATATGTTGGATAAACACGCTGTAAGGAGATTTGTACTTTCTCCGATTGTGTGTGCCTCTTTGTACATAGTAAAACTACTTTAATCTTTTGAATTTTCTTTCATTCTGTGTGTCTACAACTAGGGAACTTCTGTTGTGTGTGTGTTTTTTTTAAACATGCAGACTGACATTTTTCTTATGTTGTTAATTAAAATAGGCTCATAAATTAGGTGATTATCTTTTTTTTCTTAATTTTTATCCGTACTTCATTATTATTACTATTATAATCCTTATTCTTGATTCACTGTATTTTTGGGGCGTAGTGGGGGTGGGCGAAATTCGAAAAAAATTACTTATGAGCTATTATGTCATCTTATATTACAGCTTTTTTTCGCACGTGATCGAGTTGCCTATCTTTTGCTGCCTATTTCTTGTTTTATTCCCATTATACTACTTATATAAATATATATATTTATATGCTTACTATTTCTATCTCTGTCTGTGGTAAGCATTGTGGAATTATGTAGGCAATTTATGCTATTATATGATTTCAAAACCATATGCTTTGTTTTTTTTTAGGTTGATTATTCGTATTACTTTTGATCAACATTTTTCTGGCTGTAGATCCCTATACATATATATATTATACAAAAAGAGTAATAGGCATATAATCACTTAATTTATTTTAAGCTTTTCAGTTTTAAAAACCTGATATAATTGAATCTTGAATGGATTATTATTACTCATGTGTACTTTATCCCTATCAACCTACCTATTATTAACATATGTTCCTTAACGTCTTGTGTACATACTTATATATATATATATGCTTTATTTGCAATTATTCCATTTCATCACATTCATTACAAAATTCACATAATAATAATATTGATGGTTACTATTATTATTATTATCATTAATTCATCTGCATTCAGATTGTAGTTGATTGTATGGGCAATATCGTGTAATGATAATAATCATGGTACGCATAAGAACTTTCATAAGAAGACAAAACCAAGCGGAACGAAGATAATAATAGAGAAGTGAATCGTTCTTTTTCTTTTGTTGTTGTTGTTGTTGAATATTTCATCTGGTAATAAAATAGTGGAAATGTAGTTTTTACCTAAGGGGGATAGTGTTTTGTTCTGTTTCTTTTTCTTGTGTTCTTTCTTTGTTTTTGTTTCTTTTTTTAAAAAAATATTCTTTCTATTTCAGTTACTGAAGAAAATACATTGTTATGCGCAAATTTACTTCTTTTTTCCTTTTTAAGCTGATGTCACTATTAGTTAAGATGTTTCTCTACAACTTACAATTAAAACGGGATAGGATATTGGCTAACAATCAAATCCAAGATATACATTCTCTAGTCCTAGCTGGATAGCTGTACCTATGTCATTCCAGTTTGTCAATTTCTCTCCAGTATTTGAACCCGCTATATTTCGCTTAAAACTTTCCACGTGTTATTTATTCTAGCTACTGGATCCAAATGACCACTGGTTTATGTGATCGGAATGATTATATTGCTTTTGTTTTGTTTGAATACCTCTTACTACTATCGAGTTGTTCAAGTAACATCATTGGCCTTCACACTCGTTGTTGCCCAAAACCAAGTGAAAAAAATCACTTGGTGAGCCGATCAGAAGTAGATAAACGAAAAGATCGTTTGATGATAATTCAGAATGACCTGAAGGAGAATTGCATATCATCGCTCAGGGGATGTATTGTTTTTTTTTAAAGAACAGAAGTGTATATATAAGTATTCATGCATCCTATTTAGTAGCCCTATAAATTCTTCCACTCTTGTCTTCTCGCTCAATACGTTAGTTTCTTGGTTATTGCGTAGCACGTTTTATATAACAATCAAATCTCGAAC